AGAGAGAGAGAGAGGTCTCCCCTGACAGCGGCCGACATCGGCAAACATCATTTAGCACTCTCGCCCACGCGAATTCCCCGAGTATTCGAATCCAGCGAGTATCGTTGCCTAAAATCGCGTCGCGCGGAGTCAAGGTGGAGGCCGTGAATAAACAAGGACGGGAAGGATGGAAATCATTTATTAATTCGTGTCGTCGGGGCGAGGTGAGGGAAACGAATCGTGGAAAAAATTCCCACGTTAAAAGCTCGAACGAGATATCGAACGTTTTTCCTCCTCCTCCTCCTCCCCCCCCTCCCCCCGATCAATTTAAACGGCGTCCTTACGGCGTGAGTGATAGGTTCACGCGCGACCACGCGCTTCTATCCTCGCCCTCTTCTCCCTTTTTCCCTCGCCAGATTTTATTTATCGCCCGCGATACCGCGTCGCGTCGACGACAACGACGACGACAACGACGACGTCGAGGTAAATTCGCCGCCGCGCGCTCCTCCAAGCGGATCGCGGCGACGAAAATAAAGCGAGCGCGGCACGCCGCGCTCGAACGACACCTTCGTTTTGTCGCCGGATTCTCCGGAGGCCGAGTGGAGGAGGGAGGGGTGAAAGGTCCGGACACGGTTGAACGACTCGCTACGACGGGGCTGTTTGTCGCGCGCCAACCGAACCGAGCCTCCGCGACCTTTAATCACCACCCTTTTTTTTTCAACTCGCGAATCTTTCCCGCATCTTTCTCTCCGAAAATTCGAGTCGAATCCTGGGGCCGGTCCCAACACGGAAACTACGTTTCGAATCGTATTGGCTCGTCTCCAAAACTGCGTAACTCACACTGTACTGCTCCGAGAGCGGCTAAATATCCGCGTGGGAGAGGAGGGGCGAGAATAAGTGGAAGATTTAATTCGTTCGTTCGTCTCGATGATAATATCGGCGCGTCACCTGCACGCGCGGTTACACGCGCGCGCACACGCACACGTGCACGGGAGATATGGGTAGGACGCGTGGTGGATGGGCCTCGAAACGATCGATCGGGTTCTCCTGAATCATGCGGGTGTCTGGCGCGAGCCACGCGGAATATTTCACCGCGGTCGTTCGCCAGGACGAAGAGCGAAAGAGCGCCACTTAGGTGGGGGGTAATATACGTCGCCGAGGGCGGTAACTGTCCCCGTATATTATGTCCCGCGTGTCCACGGGGACGTTACATTCCACCCGGCTGTATCCATGGTAAACAATGTTCCCAGAGTCGTACACCTAAACGATTCCTCGTGTCTGCAGTTATTTTGGCAATTAATCGCTCGCCCCTCCTTTCCTCTTCGTTGAAATATCGCGTTTCTTCCCTCTCTTCCCACTTTTTCGCCCCTCCTCCTCTTTACCCTTACCGTTTCGCTCCGCGGATCAGAGACGGCGAGAAGACTTCGAACGAGTCGAGTTTTACACCGATTTTTACACTCGTCTTCAAATTGCAGTTGCTGCTGCTGCTGTTATTAATTCTCTCCTTCGTTTCTCTCCGAGAGATCTTCGATTCGATTGTTCGCGCATATTAGCAGAACGATCGATCTCGAACGATCTCGATGACAGAGGAGCAAACGTATTTTTATGCCTCGTCGTTATACTCGACGTCGCTTCGTTTTCTCTCGTATTAAAGGAGAATTAAACAGGAGCCGGGTGGGGAATGATGGAGAAGGGCGCGTATGAAAAATCACCGTCTGACTGCGCGCGGGGAAAGGATATTACGGGGGCGGGGGATCGTTTCGTTCTTTCTGCCTGAATCGTAAATCTTCCTCGTCTCCCTCTTGCCAATCTTGCCCGGAGTTCACCAAGTTTACTCTCGTCGCTCGTTTACAGGACCAAATTTTCTACACGTTACGCCTGTACGTTAAACGTTTTCGCTCTCGCGTGCGTTCCTCCTCTTCTTCCCCCTCCTCGCGTTTCGCGTTTCATCGCGAAAGTCGGTGAATCGAAAATCGATCCAGCCCAGTTTTATCGATACTTTTATCGATTGGGGCGTCCCCAGCGGAGAAGAGGATCAAGTTCCATCCATCCGGGCAACGAACCACCTCGACGTACGACTCCTCCAAATTTTACGGCTATTCCACGTGTCGTTTTCCATATTCCCCTCGTTATTAAATTCCCCTCGTCTCGACGCGGAAATCGCCTCCCCTCCCTCCTTCCCCCCCCCCCTGATTAATATTTAAAATTTCAAACGATCCTCTTGCACGATCAATCTTGCTCGAGAGTCGTCGCCACCCTGGCTGTTCGTCGTCTCGTCGATAAAACGATACCCGCGATAAACCTTTCGAAGCCAATTAGGGGCTAATTGATTTTAAGTGTAAATCTATGAGCTCGGCCGCGGGATTGCGGTTAAGACGGGGGGAGGGGAATCTCGAGGATCTCTGCCAACCAGCCAGTTGTTCCCGATAAATTTACGATGACTGAACCTCCTCCAATCCCTCCCCCCCTCCCTCTCTCTCTCTCTTTTACGCTCTCCCGTTTCCTTCTCCGTTTTCAAGCGTTAATGAGACCCGATCGCGTCGCGCCATCCGTCTCTCCGCGATTCCTTTTGTCTCGTGGACATCCTTTCTTTGTGTTCCCCCTTTTCCGTGTCCGCTACGCGTTATTATTAAACGTTTCTTAATCTTGAGAATCGTTCGAGAATCGGGAAGGGAGAGTGGAAAATGGAATGCAATTTCAATGCAAGTCACTTTATTGTTTCGAATCACGAGGTGCGTACAAGTGTGTTAGGTGCGTGTAAATACGTTATTACTATATATATATGTATATATGGTCGAGGAGATAATGGTTCATCGTTGAATCGAATCGAGGAGGGGCGATTACATCTGAGTGAAATTATTCGACGCGCGATCTTTTCGATGTCCCTTCACTACGAAGGAAATAAACAAATGGTAATAAAAAGGTTGGAAAGAAAGAGCGGTATCTTTTGATCCTATACTTACTGCATCCTAAATAAGGAACGCAGACGTCTCCTTTCGTACAATCGCTGTCCTTCTTGCAAATTTCATGCGTTTCCCGTTTGCGCCTGGTGTCCGGGATCTGCAGCGTGACCACGTCCGACTCGTCCTGTCGAGCAGAATCTCGAAAGGAATTCGTCACCCAGACTATCTTTTAAATGTTACTAAACAAACATTCTTCCAGACTTATTTCGCGCTTGATTTCGTTCGAAATTTTACACTCGACTGTTCTCAGCGAGTTGAACCGTAACGAAAGGGTTAACAAAGTATATTTTTCTCGCTATTTTCACTTCTCTTCCCGAGAAGGGAAACATTTCTCAAACCAGGGGTGGCTATTCGCTACGAACGGATCGAATCGAAAGCTTCTCTTTTTACTCACTGACTCTCCACTGCGATCTCCTAAGCGGATCACGTGAACCTCTGGCTCGTCCTGCGGGCGAAGGACCAAGGACGATTAGAACATGATCGCGATTTACCAGAAACGATTGGACTACTCGCTTGTCGGGCAGGGCAAGCTCGTATCTTCGTACCTTGTCGTCCTTCACGATGCATCGAGTCGCCGAAACGACGTACACGAGCAGCAGGATCAGAAACAGTCGGCTCATCCTTCGATCGTTCTCGTTCACTGTCAAACACTTTTCTTCGTCTCTTCTCGTAATTCCCTCTTATATACACGATCGATGCGTCATCCTCGCTCGTAAACCTAGTTCCATATTCTGGAATATACCAAATTATCAGGTAGGAAACAAATTGAACCGTGTCTCCTTGTCCGAAGAATCGTTAAAAATGGGATTTTCGCGGAGAGAGGATAGCGATGGACGACGGCGATAAAGCATTTTCGCAATCTTTATCTAAATTGGAAACACGGTGAGAACGGCCGGTGAGAAACGGGCCGCGTTTCACGACCCGTTTACGATCGAGGAGAAACGAGTTTGTGCAATTGCGGGGGGGACAGATTCGTGACGACCCGTGTTCGCGATTACGCTCGCAAAACGAATTCGTATGTAATACGTCGAGGGGTAGGGAAGGGAGAGGCTTGCGTTTCGCCCTTCGAGGAGCGTGTAATTTCCGTTATCGTTTCGACGATGCGGTTATTTCGAGCCCATTAGCAATAGGTCGGTTTACGTGACGCTAATGGAGTTAATTAAAAACTCGTTCGCCGCCGTTAAATATTTTATCACACGAGCTCTCGAGCTTTATTTATATACGATAACGTCGCGTATTCTTCCCAATCGTTCCCGCTTATTCTAATATTATCATCGATTATTATTCCTCTTCCTTTCGCCCGTCCTCGAATCATCGACGCTTCCTCCAACGAAAAGAGAAAAATATTATTCGCTCCTCGCCGTGGACGATTTTGTCCGGTTTGTCCACGAGTTATCCATAAGCTGCCTCTCCGAGAGGCGAAAGACGGCCGCGTTTGCATAGAGTTTGCGGCCAAAGTTGCGGCCGGAACTCCTTTGTCCGCTTTGATTACCAAACACCCTGGTCATTAGCTCGGCAAATAGACAAGTTGGCGTTAACGAAGGATGCGCATGGGATAGGATATACGACTTCGTGCCACTTCGTCCGTTTGGAATTCGAGAAACCTCTCTCTCTTTCTCTCGGTGTTAAAAAGAACCGCGTGGGACGAAACGCAGCTAAGGGTGATTCGTCAAATCTGAGAGACGTTTGGCGTTTCTTCGCCAAGAAGAGAGAGAGAGAGAGTTCGTATTTAAAGTGAGTAAGGAGGTGGGACGCGATTAGACGCGATTTCAACGGCATGCTTGGTCGTAACTAAAAGCGTCGTAAGGTCGACGAAAGGGTTGGCGGAACGCGAACTCGACGGTAAACTCGCGCGAAGAGAAAAAAGAACGGAGGATGGTTGGTTGGAAACGGCGCGAGGAACGGGCGAAACGACGCTTAGCGATACAACTGGTTAAACGGTTGGCTCGGTGTCGGACACGGTTGAAAATAAAATGGAGAGGAAAAGGCGTCGAATTCACCGAGATCGTTCCTCAGTCCCCCGTATATTTAGATCGTGACTGTACGCCCTCTCTTTCTTTCTCTCTTCCTCACCTATCCATCCCTTTCCACAGTGATTTTCGCGCATTTGTTAATGTAGTCCCGCTCTCTCTCTCTCTCTCTCTCTCGACAAAAAATCCTCTTCCCCTGAATCTACGCATAAAATAAAATTGGACGCGGTCGATCGGTTTAACGCGGTCGGATTAACGTTTCATCGTGAACTTTGTTCGAGTCGTGATCGAAACGCGAGCGAACAACCCGGTGAATTTCAGAATTTCGGTAATCCGTTTCCCGGGCGGGAGAGGGATTATAAGTTAAAATTTTACAGACTGATTACCAGTGGCGGAAGGCCTGTAGGAAATTATTTAATATCGATACCCGGTTTCGTGGGGATGGGGGAGAGGGGGGAGGAAAGGGGGAGGGGGGGGGAGAGAGAGAGGGGTCTATTATTGATATTGATTTCGTTGGAAAGCGCGGTGTGCACACACAGGCGAGGTGTGCACGCGATTCGAATCGTGGAAAGCGGCTTAATTGGAACGATTATCCTCCCCAGTCAAAGAGATAGCGACCAGCATTTCACGATGCACTTACGTAACGATTAAACCGCGTGCACAGGATACGTTCGGGGCACATCGTTAACGATGAAACTAATGCGGGACGGAGATTGGGTGGCTGGCGTGTGGCGGTGGTCGATAGATAGAGGGGGGGGGTGGGATTCCCCCTCGTCCGTGGTCCGCCAAACTCCTCCGCCCGGTTCCTTCCCATTTACGCCCGATATCTCGTCGCTCTAATAGGCCCGGTTCCCGGCCTCTCCTCCCTTCACGCCTTTATCGATACATTCGTATCGAAAGATACGGCCCGTAATCGTTCTTAATCTAGTATTATCCGTGCTGTTAAATGGGATTAAAGCCTGTCCTCCCCCTCCACGGTATAATTGATATCGACTCTTTCTTTCGCGAGGAAGAAACTGCGCTCGATTATTATCAACCGTGCGAGCTAGCTGTGCGGGTCGTTAAATATACAACCGTTTTTTTTAAATACCGGTTTCTCGAGCGAACTAAGGTAAGAGAGAGGCTAAACTTGTTGCGCGTTGGAGGAACGTTGACAGCTCTGATTCCTATTAAAACGTTGCATCGATGTGGAACGTCGAAGGGGCTATAATACGTCTTCCTCCATCGTCGCTTCTCGAGCAAAACAAACTGGCACCGTTCAACCATGGAACACCCTTGCTGCTCGCCAGATATAGACTAATTTGGAGCGTCACGTCTCCAGGGAGCAATGAGGGAGAGAGGCGGATCTTCTCAGAACCGTTTCTCGATGCGCAACACCATCGAATCCTCCATGTCCATTTGTTCGACCAGCCCGCGGAGACGAGTCGCGAAACTCGCAATTTCGCGCGAAACGAAACGAAACGAAGTCCCCGCGTTAATTATCGAGGAGTGGTTTCGTAATAACGTGGCGGGTAAGAGAAGATAAGAGAATATCGAAAGATACAGCATCGTTTCTGAAAAGGTAGTCGGAGAGTACGTTGGTGAGCCATCATTGGTGATCGAGCATTGTGTTGAAACCGCGGTGGTAGTTGTCGGAAGCGACCATAAATACACGCATGTTTTACGTAGGAAACGCGTGTGGCAGTGTCGGTTGGCGACTTAATCTGGTGAGGGTATCTAGGCCGAGGTATATACCCCGCGTATAACGCCGTTGTACACTCGGTTGTAGATTTACGAGTCGATTCGGGTTTCGTGCTTTTAGATCCTTTACCCCTCTTTCCTTCGTCCACTTTCCGGATATATCCGGATCGTTGTTTAATATCCCCGATGCAACCGATACCCGCGATGCATTTGCGTAATTGAGCGCGCGTTTGCATTTTATCCGTCGATTTTTCGCGAACCGCTCAGACGTCCGACACCGGCGTTTCCGACCTCGCGCTATTCCTCGCGTATAAATAAGCAATAGCCGACTCCCGTAATTCCGAGTAATCGCGGAAATGGGTACTCGAAAATTCGATAATCGATCCAGCTATGGAGAGAGTCGTTTTTTACGAGTTTGACGAGATAAAAGATCGGTTTTAACGCGATACTCGAGTAAAGTAGGCGGAAAGTTTCTCGATATCGCGCAACTTTTCGCGCTATTCCACCTGAATAAGCAATAGCCGACCCCCGTAATTCCGAGTAATCGCGGAAATGGGTCCTCGAAAATTCGATAGTCGATCGAGCTATGGACGGAGAGAGTCGTTTTTACGGGTTTGACGAGATAAAAGATCGGTTTTAACGCGATACTCGAGTAAAGTAGGCCGAAAGTTTCTCGACGACTTCTCGCGATTTTTCGAGATAAGCGCGGAAAGGGATGGAAGAGGGCGAGGTCGATAGTCACGTGGTCGAAAACCCGCGTTCACACACGCTGTCGATTCTCGCGGTTACTTGGGAAAGTTTGGCAGCGAGGGTAACGCATGGAATACTCCCCGAGAACACGATACTCCACTCGAAGGATCCGATGCGACCTCTCTCTGAATTGCCGACAGTTATACACAGATGAATGGAGGGAGGAGAGAAGCGCCTCAAAGCCAACCGATATATTCACGATCGTGTGCAGCATTTCTCGGCGTCGAGAATCCGCGCAAGGATCCCGAAAAGACGTGGCCGAGCAGCTACGATTCTCTTCTCTTCCTTTTTTTTTTTTTTCCATCAATATTAACGGTGACTCTCCGGCTCTCCATTTTGATTTTTTAAAAATATCGCTTCGGGAATAGATTGCCAAGCTTTTTACGTATAATCTTATAAAGCGTGGAATAATATATTGTCGTGAAAATAGAAATATTATTTTCCAAGTTTTTGAATTTTGTAAGTATGGAATACGGCGATGAAATTAGTTCGAGCGAAGATGAGTTCGATTTTTCGTTTTATTAAACAATTCATTGAGAGAAATTGAGGAGAGAGAAGGAAAATAGCGATAAAAATAGTACAAGAGGATGAGGAATAATATAAGAATAATAGACGTGGTGAACGTGAGTGCACGTTATCGGGATTGTAAGGTTTGCTCTCGATGAAATAAGAAAGGTGAAAAACATGGAACGATATTTTATCGCGATACTTGCCCTGACAAAATTACCGAGAAATTACATCTTGGCAATTATTATTATTATTATTATTAAAATGTCGCAACGATATAGAGTTTAATACTCAACTTTATTCTCTTTCATTATACGCAAAGATACGTAGAGTATTAAGATATAAAAGTTTTACGCGTTAATTTGCGCGTGAAATCATTACTAAGTCAACTTCACCGAAATTCGCCGAACCGTTGTTGGTTCGATCGAGCGAAAAAGGCCTAGTCGAGTTAGGCAAAGGGGTTAAACGAACGATCCCCAGATTTTTATCCCTTCGACAACAAATCTCAAAAAATGTCCAACGCGATCCCAATGTCGCGTAGATACCTTTCGATTTATCTGTACGAAGCAGAGAACCGTTCCTCGTGGGGGGAGAGGGCGAGGATCCTCCTCGTTGATCCTCGTCATTTTTCCTCTCACGCCTCCCTCCCTCCCTCACGAGGCCGTTTTCGAGTTAACGTCGTTCGATGGCCCTTTCTTTCTTAATTGGACCGCGTATTAATCCCCTTCGAGTATCCCTCCGGCCACGACGATTT